TGTGAGGGATTGCTGAAGAGTCAATGAGTCGATGCAATCAGCTGGTTTTCCTTAGATAGAAAACTGAATCAATTTGACTGGATGATCTGGTGAACTTGAAAGTGACCTGAGATGACATGATGTGAATTGGAGCTATAGAAATAAACTGAATAGAAAGGTGCCTGTTCTCCTCTGTGCTCAGCTAAAGGCGAGCAGGACCTGGTGGTTATGAGGAACGAGGTGGGGCTGCGGCATCCAACCGGTGAGCTGGAGACCAGAGAGATCAGCCTGGTGGTTTATGGGGAACCCAACGGTTTCTCTGCCATGGCCAAGACAGTGGGGTTTCCTGCAGCCATTGCTGCCCGCATGGTTCTGGATGGTAAGTCATGAGGCCGTCTGAAACCACGTATTTAACTCACCGCTGATGCAGCTGAACCGAGGCTTTATTCTCTGTAGGGGAAATCGGCACCAAGGGCCTGGTGGTCCCCATGACCAAGGACATCTATGGGCCGGTTCTGACCCGGCTGAAGGAGGAAGGACTGAACATCATATCCAAGAGCACCCTGCAGGAGTAGGACAGCAATACCCTAAGAGCCGTCAGTCTGCTGGTCGACTCGTGTTCAAACCCCTCTCCTCAGAAAAAGCTTTAAGGCCAAACAATTGGACAAAATCACCACATATGGAACGGTTACATGTTAAATGACCTCTATGCTCCTAGTTTTCTGTTACAGGTCCTTCCAGGTTAGGATGGTTCTGCCTAATGTTTCCAGTCTGTTGCAGCTCAGAGGTTCACTGTTACAGACGGAGGAAAGGAGCCAAACATTGTCGACACTAACGTCCAGGCAGAGACGATCAGTCAGAAACCTGCGTATGGAGCGGGCTTTAAACGCCTCGGCATCGCTGATGACATCACAGTTTCTGTTTATCTGATCAAGTAGAGCCTGTTTCCACTACAGGCGCTGCTCTGAGGAAGCAGACTATTTATTCTCTGACCAGATGAACTAATCCTTTTGAAATGTGGAAAAAAAAAAAGTATTTTTGCTTGTAGTAGAGATCTATTTTTAGAAAATATGTTGTGCTTCTATAGTTGAATGTTTGTAGATGAGAAACGTTTATAAAGGAGAGATGTCCCAGAAAGTCCAACATGTCTAACATCTGGTTTTGATGACTGAATTAAACCTTCATGCAGGTTTTTTATTGCTGTGTTTTGCCTTATTGCCAGAATGGAACGGTTCATTCATGGATGTTCCTGATCCCAATCATCCTCATTGAATCATTACAAAAAAGGAAATATGAAGGAAAAATGAATTCATTGATTAAATCCCCCTAATTCCAAAAAAAGTTAAAAAGCAATCCCCTGGACTTTGTTTCCAAGTTTGAAGATTTTTCTCTTCCCATCCAGGAAGCTTTTTCAATTCAAAATGTCAGAAATAGCGTCGAAGTCCAGGTTTTATCCAGCAGCCCAACAAAGCCTTGTTTTGACTTAGAAAACATGCAAATAGAAACAGATGAACGGGTCCACCCCTTTGGAATGGGGGTCATTTGGCTTCTTTATTAGCCTGCAATGCCCCATACCTGTCTATGTCTCTACTATTTCTTACGTTTCAATTTGCATGTTTTCTAAACCAAAACAAGGCTTTGTTGGGCTACTGGATAAAACCTGGAACTCAACGCTATTTCTGATATTTTGAATTGAAAAAGTGTCCTGGATGGGAAGAGAAAAATCTTCAAACTTGGAAACAAAGTCCAGGGGATTGCTTTTTAACTTTTTTTGGAATTACTGTGACTTGGATGACTGAAAATCCTACCCAGCATATTTTCACTGATCATTAATGGGAACGACGTGTAGTCGCGTGTTTCCTTGATCTGAGCTGTAACCACAGATGGTCACGGACGTGCCCCCCCAGCTAGAAGTTCAGGTCTGCCTGGTAGGATTCTGGATATGAGCAACAGTTTCCACATCTAGTCTCCAAACAGCCCAGATTGGCGGCGATCGGGACATTAAACCTTGATTTTCCAGCATATCCTGCTCAGTCTTCAGTGTCCTGCTTCTCAGTGAGCAGAACACTTGTTTGAGGACGATCTGAAAACAGAACCAGTTTAACCTCCATCTCTAGCTGAGCTCTAGTTCAGTCACAAAAAAGGAGAAATTACGCGGACCGGTGTTTCTGCTTCCGCTTAATTTGAAGGCAGCCAAGCAAACTAGGCCACCAAGCAGGGGACAGTTGGGGATGTAATTATTAAAAGTCAAAAATGTAAATGAAGTTGGGATCTGGCAGCAGGTCAAGACGACGTCTGGGCACTTGACCTATTTTCTGACCTGAAAAGACGCACTTCTTGCAGAGTCTTAGCATGGATTAGCACTAATGAAATTAACTGGAATAACCGGCGTGGTGTAAGGATCATAATCCAGGACCATAAAGGAACAAATATAATCCACACTCTGGTTTCACTAGAAATTAAATGTTTTATTTCCACTGAAGAGGAGGATGGATCACTGACAGCTTTCAGTGGGCTTTTTCTTTAGGAAGTGTTGCAAAGAAAAAAGTTTTGATCCAATTAAAAGCCTTCAGCTGATCCAAAATGCTGCAGCCAGAGTTCTGATGAAAATGAAAAAGATCATATCTCTCCTATCTTGGCTTCTCTTCATTGGCTTTCTGTTAAATCCAGAAT